AGATTTTTTTTTAAAAAAAATCTTGTTTTGAATATTATACACATCAATTTCTTTTAAAACAGCTGCCAAATCCTATTCTACAACACAACCCATCTTACATCAGATTGTTGGGAACACTCAAATCTTTTTTAAAATTAATTTTTACTTTGCTATATATGTACTGTATTTACATCATTTATTCCTTCCTGCTCCCTCTAATCACTTCCATATTCATCTCCAGTTCCTGCTCTCTCTCAAATTTATGGTCTCTTTTTCTTTAATTATTAGTGTTGCTATATATAATATGAACAAATGTATAAATACAACCCACTAAGTCCATATAGTGCTGCTGTAAGTGTATGATTTTAGGACTGTATATGTTTATGTTAGCATTGTATGTTTATGTTTTAGGATCTACTTGGTATTAGATAACCAGGTAGGGACTCCTCACTGGGGAAGACTCAATAACCATTAATTGCTAGTAGCTCTTCATGTAGGGGTAGAGCCCCATGAGATCTTCCCCATTCACGTTGGCATTTCAACTGGTGTTGTCGCTGTTCAGGTCTTAAACAAGGCAACCATATTGTTGAAGCTTCATGGATACAACTTCCCTGTTGCATATAGAAGACACTAGCTCACAACAGATGTCCTGGTCCTCTGGCTCTTTCATCCCCTCTTCCATGATGCTCCCTTAGGTATAGAGGTTGCATTGTATCATGCGTCAACTGAAGCTGGTTTCCTCACAATTGGTTACTCTTTGCATTTATGAGTTGTGGCTTTCTTTGGGGGATCTCTGTCTTCGTTAGTGGCAGGAAGGTGGTCTCAGAATATGGCTCCTCCAGCAGCGACACCCGTGCCACCTGGAATTTTCAGATACAGATATGCTGGCTGGTCCCAGAGGGACGGAACACACTCCTGTGGTGGGGAGTGGTCACCCATGTGTTTCAACACTCTTCAGGAGATTACAATATACAGCAGTGTTTCTATGAGAGCATTCTCTATTAGGGCTCTCTGGTCCCATGGGATGGATTGGAAAGTGAGTGGAGAACAGGGTATCTTCTCTGTTAAGGAAATGAGAACGGAGAAAGACAGAATCTGATTCTTTGTGGGTGAGAGCTGTAGCCACACAGATCTTCAGGTTCCAGGAGATGTATTTCCTAAAAAGTTCTTTTGCTTGCTGGTTTCAGGTCCGCATCCTGCATTGGACATGGAGCTGTATGGCAGAGCTGAGCAGGTGTGCAGGGCTTTCTCTGCCCTTGTGGATCAAATCACCTTACCCACCTTGGAGTGAAAAGGAATTCAGACTGAAAGGCTTGGTGTGATGATAAAAACCTTTATTCAAAATCTGAATTTAAAATAATTAAGTCTTTAGCGTCTCTCTAAATAGTTGATATGAGGGTATGAGCTTGTTTAGGTTGTTTTCTTTAAATTCCCTACTCATGAATCTTAGTTCTTCAATGTAGAGTTAAACTTTGAGGGTGAAGAAGTACAAAGGAGGGAAAAGAGACCACACACAGCAGCAGCAGATCAAATTCAGGTAGCTGATTTCTATCAGATTGCTATGCTATATATCTTGGTAATAATACTCAATTGTGTGATCTACATGAATGCAAAAAAACAGCCTTCAAGTGTCATTTGTATGGCTCAACTGTCTATCTGATGTTTCTGTTAAACAACGGGTTTAGCAAAGAACTGAACACAACACAGCATATACATAGACATACTCACAGACATACACACACGCAGACACACACACACAGACACACACACACACACAGACATACACACACATGCTTGAGTGCATATAAAACTGATGAAATCTATTTAAAATCTGGATTGTGCCATTGTCAATTTTCTAGTTGGGATGTTGTAATATAGTTATGAAATGTTCATAGTGGGAGAAATTGAACAAAGGAGACATATATGTCTCTGTACCATTCCTCATAATCATATACAGATTAATAAGAAGCTCAAATTTTTTTAAAAAATGTTTCTTTCTAAAAACATCCACGTCTGATGGGTTTTATCAAAGTGCTCAAATGAGTGCTTTCCCCTTTGTGTTGAATTATTGTTGATGGTTATATTGATTTCTAGAATAATATCTACCATGAAAAACATGTAGTTTTTAAGAATATTATATACATTAACATTTAATTCTCATAACAGACCTAAGGAGTCTTTAGCTTCTTTTATGAGGATAAAAGAAAGCACAAAGAGGTCAGACTTCCAAGGTCATTCAGCCAGCACTTCATGCCAGATTTGAACCCTGTGCATGACTCAATACTTGTCCCTAGTCTCTTATTTCTCTCAATAAATGTTGCTGTGACTTCGATGCTTTGATTTTTCAGTCCTTGTTACAGAACGAGTCACCAGTCATTCCTAGAATTGCCTACAAGGTGAAACAAGATCAAGGCATGTTTAGCATTGTGTTTCTCTCAATCTAATGCCAAAATTTTTTTCTTTTAAATCAACCATAATTTTTATTTAGGTTTTGTCACTTAATATAGTCATTTTCCTTCATGTATCATCCCAGAGTCTTCCTTGCAAGCTTGATTAGTGCACATCATAGCATAGGTCAACAGCTTAGTGTACACCATAGCGTAGGTCAACAGCTTATAGCTGCCATTGCTTGTTTTGTACAGGCTATGAGCTAAAAAGTGGTTGTATTTTTTTTAATGACTTAAAAGGTCAAAGGAAAAGACTGTTATGAGAGTTGTATGGATTCAAATTTCAGTGTCCACAATAGCAACCCTGCTGATTTGAACACCTATGACTCTGTTTCATCCAGTTCTACGTCGACAGATGGTGCAGCCCACAGAACCAGAACACTCATGTCCTGACCCTTTGTGAAAAAAAAAAATCAATGTCTTATTTGAGGTTTCTGTTGCTGTACCATAACCATGGCAACTTTTTAAAAATTTTTTAAAAACTTATTTATTCATTTTACATACCAACTACAGTGCTCCCTCCCTCCACTCCTCTCACTGTCTCTCCCACCTCCCCACAAACCATTTCCTATCCATTTCTCAGAAAGGTAAGTTTTTCCATGAGGAGTCAACAAAGCCTGGCACATTAAGTTGAAGCAGGATCAAATCCCTGCCTGCTGCATCAAGGTTGAGCAAAGCATCCACCATGAGGAATGAGCTCCAAAAAGTCAGCTCATACACCAGGGGTAGATCCTGGTCTCACTGCCAGGACCCCTCAAACAGACCAAGCTACACAGCTGGCTCCCATATGAAGAGGTTCTAGTTCGGTCCTTGGCTGTTGGTCTAGAATCTGTGAACTCCCACAAGCTCGGGTCAGTTGTCTCTGTGGATTGCCCCACCATGATTTTGATGCCCCTTGCTCACATAATCCCTCCTCCCTCTCTTCAGCTGGACTCCCAGAGCTCAGCCTGGTGCTAGGCTGTGAATCTCTGCATATGCTTACATCAGTTACTGGATGAAGGTTCTATGATGACAGGGTATTCACCAATCTGAGTACAGGGAAAGGTCAGTTCGGACACCCTCTCCACTACTGCTGAGTCTTAGCTGGAGTCATTCTTATGGATTCCTGGGAATTTTCCTAGCACTAGGTTTCTCCCTAATCCTGTAATGACTCCCTGTATCAAGATATCTATGTCATGCTCTCCCACTCCATCCCTCCCCCAACTTGACCATCCTGTTCCTCATGTTCTCATCCCCCATCCCCTCCTCTCTACCCTACTCTCTTGCCTCCAGTTTACCCAGGAGTTCTCTTATAAAGGAAAGCATTTCATTGGGGTGGCTCACTTATAGTTTCAGAGGTTAAGTCCATTATCCTCATGGTGGGACATGGCAGCGTCCAGGCAGACATGGTTCTGGGGAACTGGCTGAGAGTCCTACAACTACAGGCAACAGGAAATGATCTGTGACCCTGGGTGGTATCTTGAGCATTGTAGGAGACCTCAAAGCCTGCTTCCACAGTGACACACTTACTCCATCCAACAGAACCATGCCTACTCCACAAGTCACCCCTCCTCATAGAGCCACTCCCTTTGGGATTATAGAGGCCAATTACATTCAAACTGCCACAGTGAAAAACACAAAAACTGCTAGCTCATAGTATGTAGGATACCACGATGAGGGAGTAACCATTGACTGAGAGTTGTGTCCTGTCAGTAGTTTTAACAAATTTAATGGAATACCTTAGAGAAAACAGGACAGATGCAGAGAGTGAGCCTGTGTATAAATGTAGTTGGAGTGCTAGCTTTTTAATATTCTTATTCTCCAAATCAACCAAAACCTAAGACTATCATCGCCCCTGCCACCCACCACCATGGCAGCTCCCCCACCACCAGAACCAGCGTGTCCTACCCCATGTGGTTAGGACCCAGTTAATCCTCCAGTGAAACTGCATCTTCATTTTATTTTGCTTTTCAGTGCAAAGTATAACCACTTATAGAGCCTTAATATTTAATCAAACAGCAAACACATAATTGAAAGATAATTATGCTGTCTTATTAGCATTTGGACACAGTTTGTGCTAATATTAAAGATTTAAATAAAGAGAATCCAATAAGACCAGCTGGCAGCCAAAGCTTTTATTAATTTTGTTTTCATTAGATGAATGTTTTCTTCCCCTGTGGTTTCCTCTTCATTCCGTATTCAAAACTACTGTCTCAGATGAGATCGAGAATCACAGACCATCAGTGATACCACACCTGTGAATCCTCCATCCAGGCCAGTGTCATAGCAATGGCTTGTGATGCGTGTAGCTTATGTAAGCCAACTGTGCGGCCCTCTAGTTCATCAGCAAGGCCAGGCCTCCCCCGGGCGAATTATCACATAATCCAAAGAGACAAAAACCCTCAGCCCCCGGTCATCTGTGGAAGTGTTTTAGCTCCTGTAGACGCCGAATGAAGACACTGGCTAGCAGCCAAGAAACTGAAAACAAAGGACTCTTAGAGAACTTAACATGATATTCACCTCTGGACGTTTACTTCACTTCAAATACATAAATGATCGACAGGAAAATATTCCTTATTTTAATTTCAAGACGAGTTAGCTCTGAAGGTTGCTTTCTTTTCTCTTTACTTGTAGTTTCACTTTTCCAGTGAACCCAGATGCCCGCCTGTGCATATACACACTTATCAAATCTTCAATCAGCTCTTGTTTCTTTAAGAAAGGGGTTCTTAGGAGCTGAGAATATGCACCTGGAAGCAGAGAAGAGGAGCTTAATAAGTTCGCTAAATTACCCTTAGGTTAGTTATTCTTAAAAGAAAGAACTAATGTTTTTGCTACTCCAAATTCACAATTCTATATATAGTTAGAACATACAAGTAATTTTGTATTTGTAATATTTTCTGTCCTGTAAATTTTACTTATATAGCCTAAGTTAAATAAATTGCTATCATTTATAATATTTGTTAATTAAAATAGTGTGTGATTTTTAAAGTTTAAAGAGTCATTATATCATATTTAATATAGAAACATAAAGCACGCATTTTAAACCTCCAGTCACACAACCTTCCAGAGATAGTGTTATATTCATTCCATGCTTACTCTGTGATATGTTCAACTATTATTTTATTGGGGACGTTTTTATTATAGATATTATTGTAGTGAAGGGTCTTGTGCTTCACCATTGGCTGCACCTCGTGACACTTCCTGACAATCAAGTTACAGATGGATGCTTGCTGAGTATGTGGTTTAGGAACCTTCTTAGAGCAAACCTTTCCTCTCTTCTCTTCTCCCTTCTTCCTTTTCTCTCCTCCTCTCTCCCCTCTCCCCATCACTTTCCATCTCTTCTCTCCCTCTCTACCCCCCCTTTCCAGAACCATAACCCCATCAGAATTTAGAGGCTATATATAACCTGTGTATATAGATTCTATTCAGAGGTTCCATAGAATGTATTAGTCAGTATCCAGCTATCATTAGTTAATGTCTTTCTGGACTAAAAGTAATCTTTGGAATCTTTGCTCATAATATCAACTGTAGCCCTTAGAATTTTTAGAACTCTCATGTCTGGCTTCCTCTGTCCCTGATTATTATTGTTATAAACATAGTATCCCAGTCATTGTCCAACTCGGTCACCTGTTCTTGGGGGTAAAACTTTTCCAGTGTCTCCAAAGTTAGTAAGGGCTTTTCATAGAATCCCAGAACACTCAAACAAACAGAGAACATGGAGAGACTTGGTGATCCATCTAAGTTTTCCATATCCTCCGCTTTCTGATGAAAAGAGTAAGAATACACTAATTTTCTCAAGATTCCATACCTATTTGATGTCACTTGTTTTCATATTTGATGATGGAATATTAACAAATGTGATATACTACAAACAGTATCTCATGGATCACATATTTTAGCAAAAAACATAATTCATAGGAAGAGTTCATAAATGCCTGCAAAGTAAATGATTGTAAAGACATAAGAACAGAACCGTTTTGTATATTACGTATGCAGTAATTTTAGCTATGTCCTTTTGACCTAATGCTATGATTTCCCTGAGAACTAGGGAGACAAACACCTCTTCACCCCCACCTTCATTCCAACTTCATAGCACTCCATCCCCAGGAACAAAAGCAAAATTCACTAGAGGATCCACCATGGTACATCCAGAGCCTTCTTAAACCACTAGAGATTGAATGAGGCTCCTTGAAAGGAAATCACAGTGTTCCTGTAACTATTTAACTTTCGAACATGTATCTCCTTGACCCAAAACCCCATCCATTGATTAGACCAACCAAATGGAAAATCTCATTTCCTGATCTTCAAACAATTGCTTGTGAAAAACATTAAAATAACTTTAATAAAAGGAAATGTTAGTTTCTGCTACTGAGCTATTTCCAGATCAACTTCTCCTAAAGTTTGCAGACCAGCTGAGTCCATCTCAACTCTCCGGTGAAGAGCAGAAGGTGACTCCCAAAGCTGAAGTTTTAGAGGCATAATTTTTTCATGCTCAGCTGAACACAATAATATTTTCTTCATTTATTCTGTAGACATTTGTTATAATTATGGAAAGTGAAGGCGGGATTTATACACCACAATCAGAGGGCTCCAGAAGAAGAAAACGTACGGCCCTCACTAGCTGATGCTGATGCCTGGGCAGCTTCAGCTCACTGCGGTTTTGAAAAACCGGTAACCAACATTTAAAGATCATGTATTCCTACTTCTGTAGCAAATATGCTAAGAGAATATTTCATCTGAAAAGTAAAACTAGAAAAAGTTATTGTAACACCTACTTATAAAAATAGGCGTAGAGAATTGTCTGGCTTCTCAGCTCAGTGAATCATGAGGGATTTTTAGTTAGTGAGGATGAAATAAACTATGGGTTTGATAAGCAGCCTGTAGAGTCTTAGAAGAGGGTAGCTGTGCAACTGTTATTGGTAGATTTTTCTTCAGCTGAACCATTTTAGAGACATATAACAATGCTCACAGTTAAATATTTGCTAACAAAGCTTAGTTAGGCCTTAATTTACCACTAGTACACAAATAATTCTAGCTATACCTTAACAGCCCTGCTACTAGATTTGGAACCTTACTGAAGGAGGAACAACTGTGTGACTAGGGCCCAGGTGTCTCTCATAACTTATAGGGGCTCACTCCCTCACATTCTAATTTTATAAATTTTGTAATTTCTCCTAGACCTCTAGAGAAGACATATTTGAATTAGGATATGGTTTTCACTGTGGTTAAAAAAAATCCCCCAACTCTCAAGAAGCTACAACCTTTCAAAAATTAAGTACTTAGTAGAAGTTAAGGACTTATTAGTGATTCATTCAAGCAGCAACAAGGAATAAATATAGGTAGATTGATACTTTTGCTTTAGATATCATCAGTTAAGTATCTCTCAAGATGCTCCTTCATTTGCATGAAAGTGATGTTTTGTTTTCAGTTTCAAGGGGGCAAGAATCCCCATGCTATAAATATCTCCCTGCCCCAACACCTACCCACCTCTTACTATTTCCGCGCCAAGGAAGTATCAAGTTACATTCATGTTAGCATTAAATAAAAAATAAGTCTTCATTTGGGGGCAAGTCTTACGTCTTTACATTGCAATTTATACATCGGTGCCCACTTCCTTTTCCTAATGACTTTTCACAGGAAGTTCTAGACTGAAGACACTATGTTGACATAAACAGCTATTCTGTTGTATGAACCCTCTTGACATCCACCCCTTTAAAGCACTGTATGTGAAAATAGCTTCCCTGGGGCACTTCCCTCTCCCTCACACGTCACACCGGATGGCCAGGCCCATGCACCTTGTTTAATCCCTGTTGAGCTTTTCTCTTCTCTCTTTTCCTCTCCAGCCAACTCCCTCCTTCCTAAGCCATGGTTCCTGGAAAGGACACAGTCTACATAGATGTCCCAGAAGAGTTGGGCCAGGTCCCAAAACAGTGCCCCATGCTTCAAGTTCTCAGATGACTTCAGGTAGATCATAAAATCCCAAAAGTCAGAAACAGTGTTGGAAACACGAGGTTTTCGCATTTCCAAGAGGAGCATTGAGGAGGACTCCCAGCACTGAGGATCAGCTTGGCTAAGAGCCAACAGGTCTGTCTGACTGCGGCAGAGCAAAGGAGACACACAGCACATTCCTACAATGAGCAGGGAGCAGGTGAGACTCAGGGGGCAGCGGATCGCTCTTCTGGTCCCAGGATCAGCCATGGTCCTGAAACTGTACACATGAAAACACATTAGTCCAGGCTTATTTTCCACTCCTGAAGAGTGAAGAGTGTGCCCTTGAGACTCTTAGTCCCAGGAGAAGATGCACACCACTAGTGCTAATTAGGAAGAGACTTACCCTTCTTCCAAGTCACAAGCATCATTCTCTCTAGATGATCCATTCCCAGTCCAGGTTGTGCACAACCAAGACAGCTAAGCTGAAAAGAATTCCCAAGACGCGTTCCCTGTGAGACGGTTAAGTGGAACCGTTTCTTCTAGAATGTAGTTTAAAAATATACTACATGAAAATTAAAATTCTACCAAATGACTTTACTTTTTAATATCTTAAACCTCACCTTTTAATACAAAACTACACTACATTTAAGAATTGTATAGCTTTTGTCTTTGTATGTTTCCATGTTCATAGTTCATAGTTTTTAAAAGATGCTAGACTTATAAAACTTTATAATAGGAATAAATCCATAACTGATACCAAACTTGTGGATAAACGTATTTTGAAACTGAAGGCCAAAGTAAAACTGATAAGACACTTTGCAAGCCTAAATGCTATGCAATCCTAATATGACTTTAATAAAGATAATGTTTTCTAATTTCTCTCTGCCTGCAGCAAACCTCAAGAACTTAAAGGGAAATGCTCTGTCTCTCCCTCCACTTTTCTGGCTCTCAGTGTCCATTGTAATAAAGCCATCTGAACAACCACATGACACCTCTAACTTGTTCTCTTGTTGTCACTTAGACTAGTGCATGAAAGATTACACCCTTGATATTATAGAAATTACAATTTCTCCCAAGTTAAAAGTTTATCTCATTTTTTCCTACTTTATAAAATGTGTATCACAGTTAAACAATTCAACATAAAGAAATACGAGGACACACACCCTGCTTCCTTCCACATCACATTAGCCAGTAGGTAGGCTCGCTCTTCTCTGCTCAGCAGTAGAATAGATGGAGACACTGTTAAAGAAATATTTCAGAGCTTGTCTTTGAACACGGTCTTCCCTGGTCATGTTTGAAATAGCGGACCACTCAAAAGTTTTAGTTTTATAACATTTTCAGATTAGTTTTACTTGAAAAGATTGTGTTTATTGAACTGAAATATCAAAGTCGCACGCAAAGGTTTTCTTTGTTCAAGAATTGCAGCTTTGATTACCCCCGTGAAGTTTTTAAGAAAGGAGTGCTGTCCGGGGTGCTGAAGTTGGCATATCCTGGGACTCTGGGATACTCATGCTAATAATCTAGCTGATAGAGACTCTTCAGAAAGGGTCTACGTTTCGGAGCTTCAGAGAAGTGGGCTCCCTAACGCAGGAGTCCCCTTAAGAGCTCCGTTGATAGCCCGGTACTGGCGAGTTTGAGCAGGAATCTGCTCTAGTATGCTTCACCCTCCCACGCAGAGCCTCAGGTTTCAGGGTCTCGCCCCACCCCAAACTCACCTTCTTTTTCCGCGCCTCTGCTGTGGGTCTGTAGGGCGCCGCTCCGTGCTCACCTGCGCTGCCCGCAATCCCTCGAGTGCGCAGAGAGGACACACTCAGGCTGCTCCCTAAGCAGGTGACTGTGCCCAGCTTCTGCGTCCTGGATGCCAACCAGCCTCCTCTTAAGCGGTGGGAGTGTTCCACTACGTCAAAGGATCTGCAAACTGCAATGCCTTTCGCCCCCAAGTCCCGGTCTCAGTCTGAAGAACCCTTCTTGCTCCTCCCCCGCAGAGGTTTGAAGTTCTAAACCAGGGGGTTGACTGCAAGTCCCTCCTTAACCCGGGCCCACGCCCACCTTTTTTGTGTGTATGTGTCCAGGCTCCCAGGACCTACCTAACTGGTGAGTCAGCGTCGCAAAGTTGGGACTCAGTTTGATGCCCATCTGGGAGATAGTGGAGGGCCCAACCCGGCTTCTCATTATGCCTCGTCTGAGTTTCAAGGGGTGTGAGGGGAGGACTACGTGAGATCTGGGGGTCAGGAGAAGACCCCAAGTGCAATTTCATGCTAGACTATGCATTTCTTCTGCCCCACTGAGGTCCTGAAGTGGATGGATGGGAGGCTATTAACTTCTCATCTTTGATCCAAGCTAGAGAGTCCTTGTTGTTTTTAGTCTGGACTGCTGGGGGCGTCTTTATTTTTTCCCCTCTGATTTCTCTCCAGAATTCCTGCTCTCTAAAAAGATGAAGCAGCTTGAATGGATTTCCTTCTGCTTTGCCTTCAGCCAATCGAGACCTTAGTCCCTAGATGAAGCCCATCACTTCTCAAAGGCTCTGCTGGGCGTTGGCACCCACCTTAACTGAAGCATTTCCAGATAAAGGTTCTCAGGTGAAGGGCCTTCCTTCCCTGTCTTTCCTGGAAGTCCCCTAGCATTCTGAAAACAAAACAAAGCAAAAAACAAAACAAAACAAAAAACAAAAACAAAAACCTCTTGTACTGTTTATTAACTGAAGGCTTTTGTGCCAACTTGACAGTATCTGCGATTACCTAGGGGCCTTCTGGTGAGGCAGCCTCAGAAAACCAACCTCCTACATTGGTAACACTAGGAAAGACTCGGAAGAAGTTCAGGGAGCTCTGAGTTTTTCCTTCTTCTCTCAGTTGGACTAAGTTTGCTTCAATTTCTGTCTTTAAACTGGGCAGATAAGGCCTGCTTCTGTTTGCCCCCAAGTGGGTGTGGGGATGAGATCGTTGTCTTGTTTTCTGGATTTCAAGGAACCCACTGCCTTTTAGACATCCTTACCAAAAAATGCTTTGATGGACTGAAGAGAGAAAACAAGCAAAAAACAGGTTCAAGTTAACACCATGTTGAGTACTAAATAATTGGAGATTTGGAATTATCAATGGCTTAGAGAAAACAATTTGAAGAGCAGGTTTGGGAAAGTATGGAGAGGGGTTTTGCTCATATTAAGGATGAGATGAGTGACATCCAATGGAGATCCTATGTAGACAGAGATTTGGCAACTACAGAAAAACATGTGAGATGGCTAAGAAGGATGGATTTTGAATTTCATCAAATAGAGTCAATTGTGTAAACCATCAATATTATGGAAAGTGGGTGAAAACCCTTGGGTAATGTCAAAGGTTAAGTAACTGAGGACCAAGAAGCTTAGAAGAAAGGACGATGTGTGGAACACGTCAGAGCTGATGAAAGATCTTCACCAGGTAGGAAGAAGTCAATTGAATCCCACAGAATCAGTAAAGGATTCCAACAGAATGAAGGGAAAGAAGTTTCCATTGGATCTAAGCAATCAGAAGGTCAGTGATGAGAATAGTAAGAGTGAGTTAATCTCAGTGTTAGTGGAGTTGTGGTTGGCAAAGACAGGAATGGAAAGTTAGAAAATGATGACAGTACCTGAGCCTTTCCCTACAGAATTTTGATACACACAGAGAGAATGAGGGAATAGGGATTAGGGGTTGGGTCTTGGCCATATTGACAGCTGAGGTAGAGAACCCAATAGAGAAGAAGGGTTGAGCATCAGGAAAGGGTAGCTCAAAATGTCAGAAGTGAGAAGCAGAAGCAAGAAGAGGAGCCGACACCTACGAGAAAGGCAGATAGACAGCTCACTTTCTGAAGCAGGAAAGGAAGGGTGCCTATGGACGGGGGTGTCATGGGTAATGTGAGGGACAGGGAAGAAGCAGCTGAGGAGGATAATAACTGACAGTCTCAGTTTTCCTACCGAAGGTCACAAGTAAAGGGGCAAGCGTTAGGTGGATTCTAGATAGAGTAGAAGAGTTTTGGAGTAACCATTGTAGGTAAGAACGGAAAGGAGTGGGAGAGAAGACACAGATTAAAAATCAAAGTAAAGACTCAGATAACGTATGAAGCCATGAATTTAAAGCGTCCTACATTGTATGCCTGAATAGTTTTTATGAGGAAGAATAACATAATTATGGCAATTATTCTCTGGATCCCAATTGCCTGGGTTTGATCTGTGTGTCTTTCGCTTGTCATAGCTCACTGATTCTCAGAAAAACTTTTTGTGCCCTTAACATGCCTACGATCAGAATGTGTCTGTCAACTGACAGCCTCTGGCAGTTAGATTTGCAGCATTTTCTTTCACTTCAAAAAATAACAAGGTGTCTATAATTGATGGTATCTTTGAATGTCTTAAGAAATGTGATTAACCCCTATGAGACCATCTCTTACTTACAAAACGGACAAAGTCTCCTTCATGGTTTCCCAAAGATAGAATGAATTCATAACAGAAAACAGTTGGAAAAATGTTACATGTGTTTAAACATGACAAATATTAGAGTTTCTCTTGTTCTCCTAAGGTGTTCAAATGACTAGAACAAAAAAGAATGGTCATTATGCCATGAGACGAGTCTGAAAATTGCAGGTAAGACACTGGTGAATAAGAATGACCCAAGGTCTCAGGGGTGGAGGAAGGGCATAAAAAAGAGGCAGTTTAAAGAGGAAAAAAATGTGTGGAAATGAAGAAATCTGGGGGTTTTACTGAAGTGAGGCAAGAGGGTATCAAAAAAGCAGAGATGTTGACAAGGAGGGAGTTTGTGGTCAGGAACAGAGAGATTAGGGACTCCAGTTGAAAGATGCAATGACCATTCTGACTTTACTGAAATGAAGGCCCAAGAAGTGAAGGGAAAGGCTGTCACTGTTGCATTCCACTTGCATGTCAGTGTGAAGACCCTCGAAAGCCAACACACTAAGGGTATGAGACATTGCACTCCCAACCGGCTGGCCCCAAACAACTATTGCTAATGGAAGTAAAGATTCTCGAAAGTAAAAATTTTAAGACCTAATGGTGACTTCTCAGATACTTTTTTTCTTCTCAATATTATTACTTCACACTAAAACTTTTGAGTCTCAGTGAAACTTTTGCTCTAAAAATAGAATCCCTAATTAAACATTTCTCATAAATATGACTAAACAATTTGTACTTAAGAAAAATCAAGCAATTGTTTGAATGTTTTTATTTAGACAAATATCCTATCAATCACTTACTCTATTATGATAAATACTTTTTGACTGTGTGGTTCTTTGTTTTTGTTTGTTTG